GGAAAACACAAATTTCAAAAACTTCCTAATTAAAATTCTATTCCCTCCTCTTCATTTCCTGTGCTGCTGTTTTATTCTCACATTCAGTTCTCAGAGCAGGTAGCTATGAACGCAGCCAGTTGGGATTAATCACCATTGTGAGCCACATAATGAAGGGATGCAAAGAAAGTCATTATGCTTATATAGAATGGAATATGGAGTATTTGGGGAAATTCCTTTGCATGAATTTAAAAGATTGCATACTTCAAAATGCCTGTCCATTCCAATATGAATGTAGAAATTTCATGGCAGTTCTAGGTTTGCACATAAAATAAATTTCTTTAAAAAAAATGAAAATCAACTAAAACAAAGCTAATACATCTTCTAAATACAAATGTGGAACAAACCTGTTGAGAACCAAATCAACACCAGATATTTTTGTGGCTTTGATGTGGATGTAAAACTGCTTCTTCAATATTTGTTTTACACACAAGTTTCCCAGAATGTTGTGGAGAGGGGACAAAGTTGGAGCACAGGAGGAAAGAAACAACCCTCCCTGGGCCATATTGATGTAAGAAACCAGCTGCCCAAACACTGCTTTTGCTGAACAAAAATGTATATAGATATAATGATATAAGCTATTTTTGACAGGGCATGATTCTGTTTCATGCTATAAGTAATAAAAAGTTTCATGCTTTTGTTTCAAAAGAGCAACCATTCACATTCCAAGTCATTAGTTATTATTTTGTTTTTTTTTTTAGTTTGAAAGCTACTGGAGTTCCAGTAATTTCTAAAGTGGTGATAATAATCTGTTTTTATTCCCTTCCCTGTATGCTTGTTTTCCTTCTTGCCATCAAAATAAGGGCCAATGCAAACAATTGTTCTAAGACTGAAATATTTCCATGGTCCCTATCCCCTTCCCTTAAAAATATACAATAGAATGGTGATGTAAAAGTGCCTTACTATTGTATAAATACTGGTTCAGCCTGTACTTTGAAAAACATTGAATTGTTTTCATAGTTTTTCATGATGCGGTATTTTGTAAATTCTGTTCTATAGGAATCTTTTCATAATACTTATTCTCCTGTGAATATTGGCAAGGCAGTGAAAAATCGTTTCTTCATAATATTTTCCTACTTGTTAATAGTGTGTTTATCAGTAGGCACAGTGAAAATAGAGAAGATGGGCAGGGAATATATTAAAACCTACTTTTCCAGCCTTTAATGTAATTCTTGAACTAGATCTATTAACTAAAATAATATTTTAGGGAGATTATTATGTATTCCACTGTTGACTACAGTTAAACAGCTCTATGGTTTGGGCTCACTATACTTTCTAGAAATAAGGAACTGGCTATTCTGCTTTCACTACAGTCTATTACTATTATGAAAAGGTGTAATATAAAAATATTTTAAAAGTAATTTAAGAGCGAAGTTTCTATTGAGGTTGGCAACTGCATAATTTACTGAGACCGTAGAATGGGGTGAAGGTTAATACACTTACTACAAGCACACCTTCTGTCCTTTTGTGCTGTTATAATTTGTCTTAACATTACTTTCTGTCTTCAATTCATTCCTCCTAAAAACAGAGCTGCCATAAGTTCAAAATTGTTCTATAATATAATTGAAAAATGCGCCTAGTTTTCTTCTCAGCTGAACTGAATAAGTTTTTGTAACAGAAAGGGCTTCCACAACCCAAAAGAGATGGCTGAGCAGGAATGAGGATACACAAACACACAAATATATTACAACGTCGCTATACCACATGGATTCAGAAAAGTATCTGCTGTATTTTCCACAACAGTATTTTTATGTTTATAAATTATAGTGCAAATGTTGCTAACAGTAAATTCAGAGTTGTTTCCATAAAAAAGACTAATTTATATTGCAATCAGCCAAAATTATAAAAGCCAGCAATATGAATTGCCCCATTTCTTGAGACAAACTTGATTTAAGTTCAGATCTTAAAGGCAAAAAGAAAGCATTTTGATCTTTCCTTTCACTGAATGGCAGCTCTAGATTGTTATTTTCACTTAAGGTCATACCTGAATCACCATAATACTGCAGTCAAAAAATGGTGAAATGGTCTCTTATGCTAAGAAAAAACATGTTCTTATTCAAGTTGTAATGTATCTCTGTATTTGTAAGAAATAAAATAGCATAGCCATCCAATAAAATATATTTCTCTATGTAGGTCAGTGTTTCTAAACCTTGGCGACTTTAAGTCCTGTGGACTTCAACTCCCAGAAGTCCACAAGACTTAAAGTCGCCAAGGTTGAGAAACACTGATGTAGGTGTTCTATTGTACACCACAGAAGACAAGAGTTATTTGAGGAAGAGTGATAGCTTAATCAACAATACTCCCCTACAGGGTGGCTTGGTTCTTGGTTTTGTTTTAATAAGGTGGGAAAAACCCAGCAAAAAATACATTTCTTTTGGGATGCCTTCAAAGTTTTCAGTGCTAAAACTTACTTTACAGTATTTTTTTTAAAGAAAAGTGAGCCATCCAAAGTTTGGTACAAGATGGGGGGCTGTATAAAAGCAAACAAATAAAAAATGGGCCTTTTTATCATCCCCATTGTACAGACTGCAATGTGGGATTTGAAATGGTAATCTGACTCGTGTGTTGATCCAGCAAACTTATCAGCAAGATGCCCTGAGTGCTTAGTTTTGTATTTGATGTATGGGCCTGAGCCATTCTTGTTAAAGTCAGCTGGTGTCTTTCCATTGATTCCAGAAGTAATAAGACCTGATATGTCCAATTATAAACTCATCTGCAAGGGATTTAATTTAGCATGTCTTTTTTCTTCAGAAGGGAGTTGCATTAAATTTGATGGAGGTTATTCTCAGGAAAAGCATGCATATGGCCGCAGAATTAGGATTTAATTCTATTTACACCTTAATAATAAACCCTACTGATTCCAACTCTTTTTTTTTTGTAGAAACAGCCCTAGGACCAAGATGTAAAAAATTGTTTTACTTTTTGCATTACCATTGTTAGCAATTATGAACATTAGAGTGGAAATAAATGCAATCTAGGAGAAAGCTCTTCCCCAAAAGGAATGTACTTTTTGCTTAGTTTAGTAGTACTGTTTACAGTTTTCCTCCTTATTTTGTTATTTATAAATTTTATATCCATTGAATGTATATTGTCTTTTAAGGTAATAATGTTCACTTTTTATAGTGTACTTTTATTCTAAACAATAAAGTGTTTTATTTCTTACCACAGATATTCTATCATCTCTATTGTAACTCATTTTGCTCTATAAAAAGGTATCCTACTGAATATTGTTGGCAATAGCAATAGCACTTAGACTTATATAACACTTAATAGTGCTTTTATAGCCCTCTCTAAGCAGTTTACAGAGTCAGCATATTGCCCCCATCAACAATCTGGGTCCTCATTTTACTAACCTTAGAAGGATGGAAGGTTGAGTCAACATTGGGCCGGTGAGATTTGAACTGCTGAACTGCAGCTAGCAGTCAGCTGAAGTAGCCTGCAGGACTGCACTCTAACCACTGCACCACCTCAGCTCTTAAGTACACTGCTGATACACATCTGATAGACTTTTTTTAGGCAAAAAAAGGCAAATTTTGTCTATGTTTGTCATATTTAAGTTGAATGCATGTACACAAATAACCAAATGCCAATAAATCACCAACCTAAATTGTTCCCAGCTTTCACATTTACACATCATTAGTACTATTTGTGTGAAATAGAATAGTATATGCACAATCCATCTTATCTACCTACAAAATGAAATACTGGAGACAACTTAAAAAAAACATTAGTAATGTAGGTATACTGTTGCAAGCATTATACAGGTATGTCTTTTATCTGCCCATATGGATACATATAACTATTCTCTCCACACTCCGTTTTTTATCAACCCAACTGTAGGTAGCAACAAGGTTGTGATTCATATCTGTTGCTCAATAGGCTGAGGTAGGCTACATAAGGCAGCCTAACCACTTTGTTCAGAATATTTAAACTGATGTCTCTTAAAACCAGGTATTTTGTTCTGATCACATTGTTACTCAGCTCAAAGCATTTAAAATCATGTTTTAAAGATGGAACATTTCAGACTTAAAAATTTTGCATATTTCTGACCAAAACAATATATGATGGATCAATCTTGAAATATAATTTGTTTAAATTTATTTTTAATAAATTTTATTTATTTATCACTCTTGTAGATGCTAACATAAAGTTTCTATACAGGAAAAAATAGCTTTGGCCCTCACAGTTCCCCAAATTATCATTAACCATGATGTGAGTTCACCAACATTTAAAGGTTTCCTATCTCCTAATTAAATGATAGATCTTTTTTTACCATTAGCTCACTAGTCCATCTATGCAGTATTATGCCTACAATACGACAGACAAGTCTTTTCTAGTTTAAAAAGTAAAAACTTCCTACCTAGGAAAATAAATTGGAAGATTTTCTAGTAAATTATACTGCTATGGTATTTGCCTTATTCAGAGTTACTGAAAAATTATAGCTATTTAGAACAAGTTCTTGAAAGTTATTTTAGCACAGTATATCACAGAGTGAAATTCCACTCTGACAATAATCTTGAAAGATGTATGGATCCTAAATTAAATCATTTCCCTAATCTAGTGCTGATGGAGTGTGCAATTTTTCTGGATTTGTATTTCTGGAATTTACAAGGGCAAATTATGAATGGACTCAAGCAATAAAGGAAGTTCTGGAACAATGTAGAAAGCACAAATAAATAATTCCAAGGAAGGAATATTTTTATACACAAGTTTTTTGTTTCATTGCATGTTATTTTCCTTGTTGAAATGTAAATAGAAAACAACATTTTTCTTCTTGAATAAAGATATACATTTCATTGCCCAGAGGTGCTCCACTCAAAAATATTTTATATGAATCCACCTAAATATATGTAGGTGGATTTTACAACCCTTTGGTGTTTAAAAAAGTTTGAATTTATATTTTTTAATATTTTTGATGTAGTATTTTAATCTTAAATATACTGATGTTAAAAAATATCCCTTCATTTCTAGGGAACATGACAGTCAATTTAAGAGAATTTGGAAATAACAGGAAATAATTGGGAGGGTCAAGGTTTCCACAGGGAATTCAAAAACAAGCAAGCTCCCCTTGTACTGTATATTCATCATGACATTTCATTCATGCATAAAAGGAGCAGAGCCTGCTCTGTTCAGTTACAATTCTGTTCGGTTATAATGAAATTGGATTCTCTGGAAGACACTGGGGAGGGTAAGAAAAATTACATAAAGTCTGAATATTTTCAATACTCAGTTCTTCTATTTTTGCACCATGTAATATTAATAATATCTACCCATGCCTATTACTTATTTTGAACAACATGGTGATACAAATTGATAATAATAACTATCAGTCAACACAAGAGAGATATAGAATGTATAGAATGAGTCAAAATAACCTTACAAAGATTTTGATACATTCTCAATCTCTTTTTAATAACATACTAGACAATTACCTGTCAGGTCATTGTTTCAAAGAAATTGCTTTACCTACACCAGAGGCGTCAAACTCGATTTCATTGAGGGCCACATCAGGGTTGTATTTGACCTCGGGGGGGGGGCAGAGTGGTGTGATCAGTTCAATGTCATTCGTGTCCGGGGCGCCTATGGTGACCCAAGTGCTCTGCTAGCAAAAATGGGCATCCAAGCTCCACTTTTGCTGGCAGAGGCACCGTGGACTGGTCCTTTGCTGTTTCCAGATCTAAGCACTCCGCAGGCCGGATCCAGCCCCCAGGCCTTGAAGTTGACACCCCTGACCTGCACTGACTGACCATAGGAGGGAAAAATGTGGAAAAAGCAGGAGCAACATTCAACTTCCTGGAAGCCACTTATGGGAATGACTTTGGACCTTCCTGCTGCTTCCCCATTTGCGGGAAAAGTCACACATTGCTATAATGTGGTTCACTGTGATATAACTGGGCACTTGAGCACCCAGATAGCAATCATGTAATCATAGTAATGCAGCAATGGCTGCAATTTCATGAACTAGTGGAATGAACAATTCTGGGAAGCATGACTCTGCCTCTGTAGAATATTGATTTATGCAATCTTAGTTCCTTTTGCAAAACATTGTACCATTGAAACAAAGAAACCAAGTTACTTACCATCTGCTTATGGCTTGGGAAGAATGTTTGTTCTACAAGAGGGAACTTCTCAGGACCCAATGAGTTGACAATCTTAATTAGTTGAGAGAACTAGGAAGAAGGAAGGAAGGAAGGAAGGAAGGAAGGAAGGAAGGAAGGAAGGAAGGAAGGAAGGAAGGAAAAAGAAGAGCAATCACTTGGGAGCAATACTGCAATTTGGACAAACATCAAATACAAATGCACATGAAGTGTTGTGTCTCTGATGCCTCATGTTTCATCCAAAATATTTGTCAATGTATGATTGTTGCCAATCATACCTTCTGAAACTACACATTAATAATAATGCATGCTGAAAATCCTTTTGGTTACATGAATGCGCGTACAAAACACGATCTTAAAATTATGTCAAGCAAACATCTAACATCCCTCTTCTGTTTATGCAAATGATATGATTGCTATTTCTCCAATCCTAGTCTAAAATCTCTACTACCATGATATTTGCCTTTGAGTTGTCCACCTGAGAGTGCTGGCAAGTGTACAGGCGCTTACTTCAAATCGGCCTCCGGTTGCAAGTACATAATGAGAAGAAATTAATTATATTTTGGATGATATCTTGCATGGACCTTTATCCTTGCTGGAAAACTTAAGTGCTCATCCTCTATGTACCTAAAGCGATGTAGAAATGATACAGCAAGATCTCTTAAAATTTTATAGTGATCTTTTAGGAATGGCACGTGTCATTACAGAGAAGTTTTGTCTGTGTGTGTGTGAGTCTTCAAATCAGTGTTTACTTCTGAAGACTGCCTGAACAGGTCCTTGCAGTTTTCTTGGCAATATTTCCAAAGAGGTTTTCCACTGCTTCCTTTTTTAGTACAGAGGGTGAGTGACTGGCCCTTCCCACAACTAACTCAAATATCTGATTACAAAACAAAACCAAAAATCCTGTTTTATCTATTTTAATAAAACAGCATATAAGTCAAAGCAAGTCCCCCCCCCAATGAAAGTCTATATTCACATATATTAGCGAATATGCAGTTCTGTAGCTTATTTTTGCTGAATAAAAGGGAAATTAGTAGTTAAAATAGTTCAGATTTCTGCATGACTGCTCATTCCAGTAATGATATTCTAGTCTCTTCACTATTGGTTCAGTAGTAGGAGCGCATGCACATCTGGGCATGCACAGAAGGTCTGTGATGATGTCAGGCTGGGTGGGAGGAGCCTCGTGCTGCCGCCACTACCAGTTCAACTGAACCGGTGCGAACCGGCAGCATACCACCTCTGGCTCATTCATAGGAACACATTTTTATAAATGATAGTACCTTCAATATGTACTATATCAATCCTATCTACATTAACAATATGCCACAAGAGGGTGACAGCTCGATATGAAATATGTTTCACGGTAATGATCTATATAACATGTTTATTGTTTTATTGGAAGTGCAACAAAGAATTCAATATTTTATAGATAATATTTTTATCCTAATTAGAATAAGATAAAGGAAAATAAACATAACTTATTGCATAGAGCAGGAATGGCAACCTACTACAGTATAGAAGGGGTTTTATTCTGTTTGGTTTTTTCATCAAGTCTATATAATTAGGAGAAATGACACGATATCTAGAAGTTTGGTGATTAATGTATAGATACAGGCCTTGAATAAAATATTCAATTAGAATTGTGTCTTCAATTTTCAGGACATTGAAACGTTCTTAAATTCCATGTAAATTAAAAATTTACACAGGAAGGTTTTAGTGATTATTGCTATATTTCTGACATAGAAACACTGGCACTAATTTGTACAAATTTCTCAATTTGTTTAAAATATATAGAGAAAGAAAGAGTGTTCAATTTGGATGAGTGGAACAAGCAATTGCACATGATCTCAAATATGCCAAGGCCATCTATAAAAAAAGTGGGCAAGATAAGGATATAAAAGAACAGTGCCAGTACAAAATTGAATTTGATTAGTTAAATTAATGGAATAAAAAATTAAATTAAAAAATTAAATTAAAAAATTAATTTAAATTAAATTAAATTAATTACAGGTTGGCTCTGTATATATGGCCCAGCATAAAACTGAATAATACAAGTAAAAGTAATAAAATAGCAATAGCATTTAGACTTATATACTGTTTCGCAGTGCTTTATAATCCTCTGTAAACAGTTTACAGAGTCAGCATATTTCCCCCAACAATCTGGCTCCTAATTTTACCGAAAGATGGAAGGCTAAATCAACCTCGAGCCGGTCAGGATTGAACTGCCAAACTGCTGGCAATTGGCAGTCAGCAGAATTAGCCTGCAATACTGCATTCTAACCACTGCACCACTACTCAGGTCTTGAACCCAAGGAACTTTCAGAGCCTCTGAAAGTCTTGTTCCTCAATGGCCCTTATATATGACATACAACCTATGGTCACAGCGTTGCCATTTAGGTGCTTTGCAATTGGCTTGCAACAAGCAGAGTCAACAGAGAAGGCAGAAGTAAAATCATAAATCTTGGACATTTGATGTTTTGCTTAACAACCACAGTGATTTGTTTAACAACCAAAGGGGTAGAGTGAGGTTGTCAGTACAACTTGGTCAGGTGATGTTCAACTCAGTGATTGTGGTGCTTAGACTCTCTTGAATGATTTAGAGAGACCCATCAAAACAGAGTGAAGAGCAGGAGGAATAAATACAGATATATGTGTCCTAATCCTACCTCTTAAAAAAAAAACCACTCTTCACACATATAAAGACCCTTTCTGTGCAAATATAAATTATTTTTTTAATGAGATTGGCTATAATAGTAGAATATTGAAAGTGTGATTAAGTTGTACTTTCTCCATCTTCTTATACTCCTGTGAATTAGGGAAACATCTGCCTGGGCCTCTTCTGCATATTTTCTGTCCTTGTGGATTTACAATATGTTTTACCCTTTGTTGCTTTAGTAACAGAGCTTGCATATCTTCCTCAAGGTCATCTTCCTCTCTCTCCATAGACTTTAGGCAATGCCACTCTACAAATTTTATATTTTTACTTTAGCTACTATCCTTTCTTTGACAAGGTATTTGAACGCTATGTTTCCAATAAAATGAATTTGTGCAGAAATAATTTAACTATTTAGTATTTTCTATAGTTTTTAAACGATTATGATGATAGTTCTTTAGTTGGTTTCTTTAGTAAAAAAAAAAAGCAACCTGAGATAGGGTGGTGATGATAGCAGTTTAGACTTTCCCAGAATTGAAAAAAGAACATCAAAACAGAGTTTTCCAAAGAAGCAGAACAAAACAAATATATTAAACTATATTTTTGTCTTAATTCCCAGCTATACATTATTCCCTTTCAGGATAGACAATGTTATTAAAGATGCAGAAAGGGATTTTCTAGGCTTGATGAAATGAGACATTTTGTGCTGAGATGGATTAAACAGCTGAGAAATTGTTTTGTTTGGGGAAGTAAAACAGTTGTATTATTTACTGAAATCTTCAGTAGGGGTAAAGATAAAAAATTTGATTTAAGTTTTTTAAAAAATATTTTGCACTAAACATTGGCTTTCAAATTCCTTTGTTTACATATATACCAAAATAACTCCCTTTTTATTTCATGTGAGGATATTTAAAAATATCACCTACCACCCAGGGTTTGCTGCAGAAATTGTAGATAGAGAAAAGGGAATTGACACTATGGACCCCACCATATTGCAGGCCAATGATAAGGCTGCGAAAGTCTTCTCCTAAGGCCATGCTGTAAGCATGCTGACGGATGAGAACAAAATCAGGCTTGAAAGATCTAGGAGAAAAAAAACACACCAAATAATACGTTTACAGTAATAATCCAATTCCAATCTGTTTTTTCCCCCTGATTCTTCCTCTTCTTAAACTAGGTGACAATTTCTCAAATTTCAAACTAAGTACTCATTACAGCATTAATTTATATTAAAGCATCATCTAAACTTTCATTGCCTACAGCAACAGGTTTTAAAACTTTGAATGCATTTCTTATATATAATCCACTAGCACTCATGCCAAACTAAAATGTTCTGCGATAAGATCTAAATATATTATTTCAGTATTAAAAAGTCAACCACAAGTTGTTCGCTAAGAATTTTGGATAGACTCCATAAGATTTTTTCCAATAGTCTATACAGATGAAAAAAGACAGTTTCTGAATCTTTGGGGTAAAAATGATCATATAAATAATATTATATGCTCAGGAGCAAAAAAAGAGAATTGACTTTTGAGTTTATCACCTTTATATCCAAGTAGGTGAGGCATCTCTAGAAGGGTCTTCAACTGATTTTTCTCATTTTTTAATTTCCTTTCCTTGAAAATGTATACATTTTAAATGTATTTTTTTTTCTGAATGCTTCTACAATTTCAGCTATTCCTTATTCAGAGATTACTTTCAACAAGGCGGAGATAGCATTTAATTTGGTTGGGTTTATATTAAAGGGCTTTTAATTTAAATTTTAGGCACATTTTTTCATGGTAAGAAACCTATGGAATCATAGAGAGTGGTGTTGTCATCTTATTAATCAACTTTATGTTACAGAGAAAAATGTAATTGTAGTCTATTTTAACCCTGTACTCCATGAACGTATCTAAAATTAGTGCCACTTTATATGCCACTTTGATATTCTAAAGGAAAGGAAGCAGTTAACTTAATAGGTAACTAACAAGCCATTATAACCTTGGTAATTTTATAAAAGCAAGACTTGCCACATATCCTATCTGGCCTATGAGGTGTTTTTATAAGTCTGGTTCATCTCCCCTGTCTAGACAGAGCACAGAAATAACATACAGGAATTTCATTTGGCTTATTGCTCATTGGAAATTGGCCCAAATTTGCCAAATTCTCCATAATAAGGGAAGTAAAATGAGAATAAAATAAATAAAGGAGGAAGACCATTTTACACAATCAAAACAGATTTCTGTTCTCAAGGAATCCACATTTGTCTATTATAGTTAAAGACTGGTTTGTCTTAGCTGAGATTTTTGAGTGACAAGAAGTGCTGCATTTGAATTAGATTATTTTCTTAAATAGTGATTATTGGATTATTCTCCAACAAGAATAAACAATTAGGTGCAAAATTGCGACAATGTATAAATTGCTGTGGCATTCTTGGCCTTCTCAAACAAAGTTGAGGGGGGGAAAACGGTGACTGCAGCTACCTGAGGAGATCATACGGCTTTTCTGTTTTTCCTCACAACATGATATTCATAATGATATCTGAGAAAAGGCTTAAAATGTATGTGAAGAAACGAAAACATAGAAAAAAACTTTTTAAGCAAAATATTTCCTAAGGTAAAGCAACAGATCAGTTTCAAAAGATGGGGTTTATTTAGAATTAAGAATCCTTTCCCCTGACTGGACTCCCTAAATGTATAAAGGACAGCTCCCAAATATCCCAAAGTCTTCTACCCTTGTCTTAGCCAATATACCTTTTAATTTATTTCCAGGGTCAATTCAAGAAATTGTTTGTTGTCTTTAGATTTACAACATTTAGGATAGGAAAAATAAAATAATATCCCTTCCTTATGTCCTTACTAATATAAACAACCTTCTAAAGTGTACCACACTAGGATTTGAAGGCAAGTATTTTAAGTAGCAGAATAACAGAGTTGGAAGGGACCTTGGAGGTCTTCTAGTCCAACCCCCTGCTATACCATTTCAGACAAATGGTTGTTCAATTTCTTCTTTAAAACCTCCAGTGTTGGAGTATCCACAACTTCTGTAGGCAAGTCATTCCACTGGTTAATTGTTCTCACTGTCAGGAAATTTTTCCGTAGTTCTAGGTAGCTTTTCTCCTTATTAGTTTCCACCCATTGGAAACTTGTCGTGCAGTGCAAATTATGAAGTACTACCAAGCAGTTTAGCCCATTCTCTATCTTAAGGCAATTAACAAATAGCAATAGCAATAGCAATAGCAGTAGACTTATATACCGCTTCATAGGTCTTTCAGGCCTCTCTAAGCGGTTTACAGAGAGTCAGCATATTGCCCCCAACAATCTGGGTCCTCATTTTACCCACCTCGGAAGGATGGAAGGCTGAGTCAACCCTGAGCCGGTGAGATTTGAACCGCTGACCTGCTGATCTAGCAGTAGCCTGCAGTGCTGCATTTAACCACTGCGCCACCTTGGCTCTTTGCTGCTAGTGCTTTACTTATGTATTTTTTATTGGAATTATGTCATTGCATTCTATTTTAATCCCTTCCCACCTTAGATTTGATGAACATAATAATGTCAAATGGAATGATAACAAAAATCAAGCATAAAATATTTCTATAATTAAGAAATTATAATTAAACTAGTATGATGGTAGGGAGAAAATGTACAAGTTTCAGACTTGTACATTCTGGGATTGTGTGGGGTGTGGGAAAATAACAAAATATGCATCAAAATGCAAAATCTCTCCTTTATATATTTTTGAAAGATATTGTGATGCAAGAACTTTGAACCTTGCTCTGTTATGTAATTTTAGTCATTTTAGTGTCATGGTGGTTAGGAACGGATGACTATATAGTACAGGTCCTGTATGAAAACATATTATGTTCATTTCATGAAAGAATAAATAGCAAGTGAATGAAAAAAGAGAAGATATAAAAGTTACCTGAAGAGTAAAAAAAGGAATGTGTAGAATTAAGACATAGAATAAATAAGTAAAAATGGTGGTGTAAAAGGAAAACATATGAGGAAAGGATATTGTATAATGTGTACACAGAGAGTAAAACATAATTGAAAGAATATAATCAAAAATAGCAAGGAACATAAATGTAATCCTGCAAAGACTAAAAGAGGCATCCAAATGCAGTATGATTTTGACGATGGAAATTAAAAACTGAAAGTGGTTGAAAAGAACTAAAAAAAGATCTTCCACTGAATGAAGAAAACTAAAAATAAAAGTGATGACATGATTCTGAAAGAAACTAAAGTGAGGGAATACTGGAATGGGAATTTCAGAGAGTTGTATTTAAATAATGATATGTTGATAAGTAGAATTCAAATAAATGCTACAGTTGTTAACATCCAAGAAAAATAGATGTGAGTATTTTGAAAAATGGCAGGGCAACACATATGGCTGAAGGAATCTTAAAATATAGAGTGACTGTGAAACTTGTTTGACAAGACTAGGAATACTGTATCTGTCCCTAACATCTGGGAAAATGCTATTTTTTCTTATACAAATTGGCAAAAGCAAATATAAAACTACCATGGAATTAGTTTATTAAGCATGTTTGATAGAGTTCTGATTAATAGGATATAAAAACAAGAAGAAACCAATAAAACAAGAACAAGAAGGTGATGCGGAAATCTTTGCAGTAAATAGCACAAAAATGCCGTAGTTACAGCTAATTTGGAATTCTAGTGCAACAGGTCACAACCCTGGCAAGATCCCCAATTAGGCTGACAACAAGAATCAATGGGGACAAGTCAGTTTTAATTAAAGAATGAATATGATTATATCAAGGAAACAGAACAACCTCTGCCCCCTCCATTGTACTGACAGACAAGTGATTGATACTCAATAACTAGGATAAAGAATAAATGTTGTTAGGCAAAAGGGTTGAAATTCAGACATGTAGCATCAAACTATTCTATCCTGCTACTAGCATTCTCATAACTGTAATTTGCTCCTTACTAGCTGGCTTTACTTTATCAGTCTGACTCAGTTCTCCCATTTAAGCAACCATACCTTCAGAATAATAATTACTCTTATATTTAATCTATTTTCTCTTGAAGATCCACAGAATCCCTCAAAGGTTTCTTCAGATTAATTATCATCCCAAGTAATTGATTCTTCTGAATACATTATAATAAATGTATTCATAATTTATTTTATCACAATTTAGCTAACATGATCTGGAAACCTTTCAAACCAACACATAAAGAAAGTCAGTCTGTGACTAAATAGAATTCTTTGACCAAAATGTCACCTTCAAAACCCTTTTATGCCTCAGGTTTATTAAACCTGTGGCCTGATTTTAAAACACTAATTAAATTTCAATTTGCACATCTGACTTATGTTTAGTCCAGTATTTCAAATATTTGGTATGGATACCTTTTATAGGAAGGCTGTAAAGGTTTTCTGGCATTCATACAGGTCACCTCTAGACCATCATAGGTACTTTTTTAGTTTACTCTCCTTTGGGCTCTGTTTTTTTTTCTTGCAATGAGTGTCATCTGAAGAAATGTCTTTTAAGCTGTCACTTGAAATAGAATGCTGACATCAAGGAGATTCACCTGAAAGCAACACGAATCTCTTTCCAGTGACAGTTCAAGGCTACTGACCAGGAGTGAAATGCTAACTGTTTGCACTGGTTCACGCAAACTGGTAGGGATGATTGTTGTTGGTTCTGTGAACTGGTAGTAAAAAAAAAGCTTCTGAGGATCGCGTAGCTTAGCTATGCTTTGTGTGATTGTCAGAAGCTTTTTTCCCACTTTGCCCGAATGGGCAGGAAAAAAATGCTTTAAAAAGCAGAAAAAAAGCTTCCAACGATCATGCGGCTTACAGCTGAGCCATGAAATCCTCGGAAGCTTCCCCCCCCCTGCTTTTTAAAGCCTTTTTTCCTGCCAGTTCTGGTTAATAGATAGTAAAAATGCTTGAAAAATTAAAAAAAGTTGGCCACACCCGCCCAATCACATGACACCCACCAAGCCACGCCCACCAAGCCATGCCCAGAGAACCAGTGGCAAAACCTTTTACATTTCACCACTGATACTGACCTTTTACCATGGTTACCCACTCGTTTTGTTTTAAATCTTATGTTTTATTGCTCCTTATTGGATAGATTTTATTGCCCCTCTATGCTGTATAGCTGATTTTCTTTCTAGGTAAAGGCGTGTCTGTGTGTGTTTATTCTTACAAAAAAAAAACATGATACAGGACAATACTTTAAGAAGCAGAACCTTGGATTGGTCAACTTGATTGTATTTATGACATCTATTTATTACCACTATCTGTTCAGATTTAGAAACCCTTATGCTGATGGTTCTGTACTTTCTACTGATTTGGGGCAAATTTTCATTTGGTTGGAATTGTGGATTGGAGGATATTTGTATGCGCAGCAAGAGGTCAGGGATAAAGCACTGGATAATCCATGGAGAATAATGTGAATAGTATGACAAAGGCATGAGAAATTAGAGAACGGAGAAGGAGAAATAAGGAGTCTTTCTAAAGGGTTCGTTAGAAATATGCTTTCATACTAACTCTGCCAAACATCTCCCCTATCTACCTTCACCCATGTCTAAAGTCTACCATGTTACTTCAAGACAGAAGTGTTGAATGCCCCAGGGGCTAAATCATCACTATTTAGACCAAATGCTGAATGCAGTTATCTGCCAAATCAAACTGGTGGCGCAGTGGTTAAATGCAGCACTGCAGGCTACTGCTAGATCAGCAGTTCAGCGGTTCAAATCTCACCGGCTCAGGGTTGACTCAGCCTTCCATCCTTCCGAGGTGGGTAAAATGAGGACCCAGATTGTTGGGGGCAATATGCTGACTCTCTGTAAACCGCTTAGAGAGGCCTGAAAGGCCTATGAAGCGGTATATAAGTCTACTGCTATTGCTATAAAACTTCTTTCATGGAGACAAAGGAAAGGAAGGAACTGATTACAGAGTTTCAAGGTCAGGTCCCTGAACCCCAAAATTGGAACCTGTGTCCTGGAAGTTACAACCAAAAGAAGGATTTTTTAAAAAAATGAGCAGTAGGGAGAAATACAGACAGATACTTTGGATTACGTCTGGAGCACTATGAATAAAAGTGTTAGTGCTTCAAATTGGGCTTTGGCTTATAAGATATTAACAGGAACAGAAGAAAAGGCGATAAAAAATTGTACAGTTACTTACTGCAGATTAAATTAGAAGAACAACAAGAAAAAGAAACAATGATAGTATAGGCAAAGAACTTTGGGCATGTGATAGAGTTAGATAAGTGGCAGCAATTGTGGGAAAGAAATTATAAACTAACAATGTCAACTGCATATAAGGAGAATTTCTATAAAATGTCTTATAGAGGGCATATGTCACCTGAAAGATTGGCAAAAATGTTTGAAGACAAATCAACTAAATGTTGGAAATGTCACCAGACACCGGGGTCGTATTATCATATGTGGTGGACATGTGTGGAAGCAAAAAAATATTGGGCAAAAATCCGAATGTGGTTGGAAGAGATGATGCAGCAACATATTGATTTAAAACCTGAACTGTTCTTGTTGGGTATCTTATCAGAAAAAGATAGTAAAGAAAATGTATATTTGATTATTCATGTAATAACTGCAGCTAGAATTGTATTTGCACAAAATTGGAAAGGTGAAGAGGACCCCACAGATGAAAACATGATTAAAAAAACATTAGAATGTGCAGAAATAAATAGATTAACATTTGCAATTAAAGGAAAGGAAGAATCTGATTATTATAATATATGGAAGCTCTTTTATCAATGGTTAGAACAGAAATATGAAAATAATATATTATAAAGTTAAATAAATTAAGAAGAGAAATATTATAATAATAGATATGTGAAGTTTTAAGTACTAGTATTAAAATAATATATATATGCTTTAACTATTATGACACAACTATTATGACTTGAATAGGGAATCTATGAAGAGCATTGGAGTGTAATGAGATGTGAGAGAACAGGAAGGTTCAGACAATCTGTAAGACTGGATTAACTTCAGAGATTGTAAAAAGATATTGGGAAGACACAACTAAAGCACTCATTGAAACAGCCATGGAATTCATCCTGAGAAAATTCTGTATCTTGAAAATATTTGTCAAATTGAAATTAGCAATCTCACTTGAAATAAATACATGGGTCTTAACTCAACAAATCATTAAGATTATGAGGCAGTGAGAGAGGAAATTGTGGAAAACAGGAAGCCCTAGAAACAAATGGGGAAGACACAATAGAGAATGGAAGATGATCAGACTGAAACATTACACTGTACTTCGTATTCATAATTTAAACTGGAACAGTGGGAAACATGCAAGAGGAAACTCCAATAAATCATTTTGTTATGATGACCATGTGCCATCATTGGCAGAATATTAATACTGAAAATATTAGTTCAGGATTTCCTCTAAATTCTAGGATGGGAGGAAAGTATGGCAATAACTAGCTACGTGGGTGAGCTCTTTGTCTATTTCTTTAATCTGCATATATTTCTCTCATTGTGGTTTCTTAGTACTATCTATGTTCTGCAATATACTGTACTATATGATTATCTAATTGGCTAGTGTGACTGATCAGAATTTATTAATAACCATTTGTAAGATTTTGAAGTAAAATCCATAGTATAACAGCATTTATATCACCAAAGTCAGCAGGATTAGGTGGCACAAAGGTGCACAAATCTAGAGACTATGAGGACACAAAACGAAAGAAAATATGACTAAGAAGAAGAATACCCAAACAATTGGAAATCATAGGTGGAAAGTGCCATTTATTTATTTATGTATTCATCAAATGTATATGCTGCCCATCTAGCACTACAAAGTGATGTTAGGAGGCTTTTAGCACACATGAAAATCAACACATGGACATAAATATTGTTTTCAGCTTAGTTGTAATGATGACAGATATAAATGTACAAAACAATTGTTTCATACTCAAGGAGTAAGGAAAATGTGAAGATATCCTCAAATTTAGCTTGACTCTTGGGAATTACATAGACACTACCATGTTGGTTTCTTGGAAACACTAGTGGTTTGCTACTCCAGGATGGTTTTTTAAAAGCTCCTGCTGTATCTACATCTCTCGTGTTTCTTGGTAATTTTCTATCTAAGCAGTAACTAAATCCAACTCTGCTTAGCTTCCAAATCAGGTAATGTAAGCATAATAGTACTTAGCTTTCAAAGAAAGCTGCTTCACTGCTAAGGGATTAGACTTGAGCAGATCAACCGAGAATGCAAAATTAACATCAACAACCAAGGCCTAGACATTGGTCAGTGTGGGAAAAAAAAGGCTTGCTTTAATTCTCTCTTCCCTCAACCTCCTTTTGTTTGATTAAATACCATCAGGTCAGAATCCACTCTTAGCTACCACATAGACAGATTTTCTCCAAGATGATATGTCCTGACATTTTAGTTATATTAGTTACAAATGAAATAAATATGTGACATAATTATATTTCAACAATATTTTCTGGCTTATAACAGCAAGTCACCAGCCTACTTTTCGAATACAAAATACATTTCTTTATATTTTTTTAATTCAAGGATATACACATGTGCTAATCAGCCTTTGGGATTATATGTTGATATGGGATTTCCTACCAGCATAGTTGTGTACTCATTTCTCAAGATCTCAACAAATAAAAGTTTCTGAAAAAAAAACCTCTTTTAACAATCAACACATCACAAAAATATTTTTTCTACTGCTAAGGTCACAAGTTGTTTGCAATTATCTATTCCTTATTGACAAAACTTGAGAAGCACACATTTTTTTAAAAAAAACGAAGGACAAAGAAGTTAATTGGAAGGAAACAAAAACTCTATTTGTCACCTGACCACTTTTGTGCCGTTCCTGATGACCTGCATGTCTACCATACAGCCAGCAGTAGAATAGGCAGCCAAGTTGAGTTCTGAAAACTCTGCCTGAAGTGGAAGAATAAAAGAACACAGGGTTACTTGATAACAAAACACACAGAATAGAGTGACCTATTTGCAAAATTCTCTTTCAAATGGAATGTTTGCCTCAAGATTTCCACAGCAGCGGCATGTCTAATTAGTGCTGTTCAGCACTGGAAACACTCAAGAAGTGTTTATAGTCTAATAATAAGTGGATGCTGAATTAGGTTTACTGCAATCATCATCATCATCATCATCATCATCATCATCATCATCATCATCATCATCATCATCATCATCATCATTCCAGACCAAATCCAACAGGAAAATTCTTTAAATAGGACTTCTGTGCCTATTTCAAACATTACATCTAGGTTTATTTTTGAAATCTGGCTTCACTGACCAGCTATAAACTTAACAAAGTTTTGTGCTTGTGGTATTGGCCAAAATTTTCATTATATTTTGAGAGAGAATTCCATTTGAAAACATTGAACAAGTTTAGAGCGTAGTGAATCTGGGCAGCACATTGTATTATATAATCATTCAAAAATAACCTTTTTTCATGCCTGACCATAAGAAACAACATTGCAAAATGACTGCAGGTTAGACTAATTCCAAATAGGTTCCTCCAATTCAGTTGCACTTCAAGAACCTTAATCCACATCCCACAAACCCACCGGATTAGGAAGGGTTGTTTTAGAAACAAATCTATAGTTTACTATATTAATAGTTCAGCAAATTCATTTGAACCTGTGGAATAGACAGGACAAAAGACAGGTTTTTCTCTCGCTAGGCTTGCAGAATGCATGATAATTACACATCATTTAATACATTTGTCTAGCCTGAAGTGTCTTTCAGAACAGTGAAGAAGGATCACCCAATCTGGACTACAAAAAAAGCACATGACACCAATACCCGTGCTTCTTAACCATGTCAATTTAAAATGTGTGGATTTAAACTCCCAGAATCCCTAAATCAGTTAACCTTAGGTTCTGTGTTATTGGGTGGGAAAAGATGGGAGCTTTAAAAAGACCCTTTTTTTCTTTCATAGCAAAAAAGTCAGAAATAAAGCCTGACCTGTTTTATGTCAACAATGTGAGGTTTGGCACATCAGAGACAAAGTAAAACAAAAACAAATTGCAAAATAGCCATTCTGGGAAGATAGAATTTAGGTAGTGGTGACAGTACAGGGAAGAACCTTGCAAATTTCTCCCAGAATATTTTGAAGCAATATTAAATTATTTTCCCACCAGGTTTAATTGTTTGGAGATTTTACTTATAAAACATTTTTCTTTTTTCATCCAAAACAGAGTAGTTTTTCTAATACGAATAACAACTTGTTTTTTCTGAGAAAGATAGCATTTCCACTCAGCAGCAAACAAAAGTATAACATTCTCCAGCATGGTTAGGTAGATGGATGACAGTACACTCTGTACTCTGCCATAACAGAAAAGGCAATTTAATCTGAGGTAATCAAGCTCCAAAGTGTTCCTTTAGATAAATATCTCTTCCTAACTGACACTTGCAAAGCCAGGAGTGAACTAAATGCCTGTGATGCTCCCCCCCCCCCTCACTGACCTGTTCCACTCGGATCTCATATTCCCCATTCACCTTCTTTCCTTGAAAATACTTAGGCCTATAGGAAAAAAAAGAGGGGTGGGGGAGAGGGAGAACATGTGTTAAATAAGTTTATCTTGTCCTCATTCATATGTATGTATGTATGTATATATGTATGTATATATGTATGTATGTATGTATGTATATGTATATGTATATGTATTAATTGTCACAACTCCTGGTATGCCCAAACATGGAAGGAGGCATACTGCTTCCTTTCTGTGTCTATCGGCTCATCACTAGAGACCATCCATCCATTTTTACTGTTGCCTTTGTTACATTAGTGTTGTATTTGTGATGATTTGTGTAGTCTCCCTTTATTTATTTATCAGCACAAATACAACATACATACATACATACATACATACATACATACATACATACATACATACATACATACATACATATATATATATATATATATATATATATATATATATATATATATATATATATATATATGTTATATTTATGCTGATAAATAAATAAAGGGAGACTAGTATAGATCTATATAGATCAGCATAAATATAACAAATGTAACAAAAAGGCAACAGTAAAAAATATTGGGTTTCTGTCTGGATGGTCTCTTGTGACCATCCAATTATATATATATAATTGACAAGATTGTTCAGTATTGTTTCCCTGCTTAGGATGATTCAGGCAAGACATATTAAAAAAACCAAAGTCTCTGAAATGTTGATTTAACTGCCTGGTTTAACTTTCTAAAATGGAGGGTAAAGGTTTACCGTATGTTATTATTGCAAGACTGATGTTTATAGTAACCTTATAGTGTGTGTGTGTGTGTGTGTGTGTGTGTGTGTGTGTGTGTGTGTGTATATATATAGTTTATATTTATATACTATAGCATACCATATAGCATAGTAACCATGGGTTCTTTTAGCATCTTAAATAATATAATTTTACTTGATACATGAGCATGGCTAAAGTATAAGGAGACGGGGATCAATGAACTCTATCCTTATGACTCCTTATCTGTAGTGCAAACATGTTGCAGCCAGATTTCTTTTTCTGCTGTTTCCTCATAATGTTGTATTTGTCTTATCTTTAACTGTTGCTTTCCAAGGACTCCATCAGCAAAGATGAGTCTAGCTGAATCCAGAATTTCCAAGGTAAGAAATAAATATTTTTGTCTGGTTCACAGAAAGAGATTATCTCGAGTTTCGTTGTGGTGGAGCAAAATAGCAGAAAGCCACTTGAGAGAATAGAAGAAGAATCTATTATATTGTTTTATACATATATCTAGAACAATAACAGATTGCCCTCACTTTCCTTCTCATCATGAATAGACAAGAATTAGCAACTAACTCTTAGTCCCAGTTCAGTATTGATCTGTCTGCTTTTGCCACTCCAACATCCTTTCTCAATGGTATGTGGACTCATTATCCAAGGTTCATTCCTCTCAAAGCTTGCATGTTGATCTGTGGTTAAGGCTTTATCAGTAAGCCTTTATATTTTCTGTTGGAGCTCATTTGGATCTTTGTCTAGCAGCTTCCTTAGTAGAGGCTGTTTCATATCAATATTTTGGTACTGGAGTCCTAAAAACTCTCTGTTCAGTTCCTTCACAAGCAGATTCTTTCCATCTTGTACTAAGCTTTATTTTTACATATTCTGCTCTCTTCCCTTTACTAGCTGTAGCTTTCATTACCTCTTTCTTTGCAGGAGTTCTCCTCTTGTGATCCTCAATCTACCAGAATAAGCAGTCTTTCTCTAGCTGCCTGCTTTGTTGCAGTGAAAATAGTACAGGACCTCTTTCAATCTGTTTCTCCCTGGGGGTTGAGAGCTATCTCATTTTGACTCCTTGCCTGCATTCTCCCTGCTGTGGTGATGATATTCATCAATCAGCTTGACTGACACATACTCCAGCATGAACTTGCATTCTAGCAGCAACATGGTTGCTCTACTGTAATTTCCTCTTCCATGTTCTTGAATTACTATATAGATTTTAGCATTAAATTCACATACTTTTGCAATTTTGTTCCATGTAAACTCCTTAGTCATACATTAAGCATTTAAATTAGCCCTCTCAAGCAATTTCTATAGGGAATTCCACATTCCTTCAACTATATTTTGTCTTGTTATATTAATTGGATGCATATTTTCCATAGAGAAATTGAATATAGCTCTTGGTTTGCTATCTCCTCTGCTCTAGCTCTTTCTGTGGTAATAATTTCCACAGACCATCCTCAGAGTGAGACATTTCCATTTTAGAATCCCATTGCTGATAACTTTTACTGGTTAGCTTTATTATATTTGAATGGTAACTTTTGCCAGCTAGTCTATTTCTAAATCAATTTTTATTGTTCCAGCCCTGTAGAATAGCTTCTGTTCTGTTCCATAAGTTTATCAGCAGCTTAAGCTGCAATCCGAACAACAAAAACCTATATTTCATCTATTTTTATTTTATTCAAAAAGTTAAAATAGAAAACATCATTTTTTAAAGATAAAAAGAAAACAAACAAGACATTAAAAAGAAAAAGTGCATTAAAAAACTACTACACATAAACATATTACCTCCCCAATTGAATGCTGATTAATACTGTATGTTACAACAATATTAGTTTTCCATCTCTTGCAAAATAGGCCAAAGAATTTTAAAATACTAAACTACTAATTCCATTTGCAAATGTTTAACCTATCATCTATATACTATTTTAATAATAAAATAATTAACATAAAGAACAACAACAATAATAATAAAATATAAGATTAAAATTTTAAAAACCTCTGTTAACAAACTATTATTGTAATCAATTTATAGAAAATTTACCATCTTCTTAATTATCCAAAATCATCCCAAGGATTAGCACTGATTATAATTGGTCCTGGATCAAATATCCATGTTTGTTTCTTAATAGCACCTCTTATCAATTGTTGTCTGATTAAATACAAAAAATGCAATCGTCAAAGCCAGTCTATCTTTCCAAAAGAATTCAAATGAAGTTAAATGTGGCAAAACTAATCTTCAATCTCCTTTAAGGATAAATCCTTAAAATAACCCAATTTATCATTTGTCAACTGAGACAGTTTTCTGCTGTTGTATAAGAGTGCAGGCTTGAACTTCAGGGAGGCCTATGGCATTGACTCTGTTATTTCTAAGCCCATATTTCTTCTCAGAGAAGCTACTGCTTTGAAATCACATTCCTTTTGTGGGTTTAATACAGTGGTGGGTTCCGGATCCCATTGCAACTAGTACAGTGCAACAGGACTGGGCATCCACCACATCAACACATATAGCCCCTGTGCACTGCCCGCGACGTTCCAGCTGCTTGACGGAGCTTCGCGCAGGCACTGTAAGGAGCGCGGCTGGGCCTTCCGGAGCACCATACTGGAACAGTACCTGGTGCTCCCGGCAGGCACTGGTACGCCCATACTGGGGCGTACCAGTCGTAACCCACCACTGGTTTAATATATTTACAGTCACTTACCTCTGAGTTCAGCAGCCATCTTGGGAATGAACCAAAAAAATCCTCCCCCCCCCCCGATTACTTGTTATTTGTACCCCATTACTTATTGGCAGAGATATTGTCAATTGCAGGATGCTTATTGGTAAGAGATAGTTGCATAAAATGTAATTTAGCATCATTTTATAGGTTACATCATTACAAATTAGAACATTTAAGTTCTTGATTGTACAGGACAGCAGAGAGCTCTTTGTGAGAACTGAGAGAG